CCCCCCCCCCCCCCTCCTACGCCGTCGTTGGAAGAACCGCCGGCTTTGCTGCCGATCGCTTTCGACTTGCAGTGGACACTGTGCAGGTTGACTTGGTTGATGACGTCCTGGTAGCTCGCATCCCAAGTGGAAACATGCTGACGTATCCTCGCATCCTTGCAGATAATCTGGGGCCGTACACGGTGCACAAGGTTCGTGGGAGAGGATGCCTCAATCAATGGTAATAACCCTAAGCTTTGGTAGGATGTGATGGGATAGTTGACGTACGTATCCAACAGCGATAAGAGTCGGCACAACAACAGTCACGATTAGTTCCTTGACGGACGCGGTCTACCTGCAGCTTGCTTTGGGGTTAGACCACGCTTGACGGACAACCCGCACCATCTCTATTCGTTAGGTAACACTCACGTTTCTTATCCGTTGCAAGGGCTTGGATGACACCACCGTAGAGATAGATTTCTTCAGCTGGGCCACGTGTCCCGATTTTTGGTCGCCCGTGGATACCTTGTCGAGCATCATCTTCACCTCTTTTTTCTGTTCCTCGGCGTGCGGCTTGATGTAGAGGGCAAGCTGGTTGGGCTTCCGGAAGGACAGCTTGTCTACCTCCCTGCATGGTCGCGCACAAGTTCAGGCACATTCGAACGGCAGGATCGAAACAATCAGCCTATCGAACCCCTTCAATGTCGCGCACATTTTCTTCTGACGATCGGAATAGAGGATGACATGGCTCTGTGTCTGACCTACCGACCCATGAACACACTTGTTTCAACACCTCCGACGAGAGGACGCGTCAAACCTGTTCACCCAACATTGATCACAGCTCGCTAAGGGGCGTGCACGACGGACACAACGGCGAGAGGATGGTGCTCACGACAAGGGAAGCGTCACTGGCAACAGGAGTAACATCTCGCTCAGCAGCAGTTCTTTCACATGCTCGCACACACATACTTTTGGAGCTCCGGCGTCCACTCGTCTTTGGCACTAGATCGTAGACGTCCTGGACAAAATGCGCTGCCAGGTCAGCGTTAGCGTCGATTTGTAGGTAGTCCTTCGACGTAGGAGCCTTCTTGTTCAAGAATTTAAACCTGCAGTAGATTGAACGTGAACGGTGGACATGAGCAAAAGAAATGCGAGGTCTCGGGTGATTGAACTGTGACCATCCAAGGCGGTGATACGAGTGAGTGAGTGAAGTATATTGCGCATTCACAACCTGCAGCAACTAGTTGTGTCAATGAGTGATACAACGGTTGACAACGTCCACAACGCAAGCATTTTGGCCGCTGTGACCGATGGTCCTTGAACTCCCATTAATCAAATCTCCAACCTCTACCCCACACGTGGAAAAATCTATGTTTCTCACAGGGTTTGCTCCAGAGTGAGCACCATCGCTCAGAAAAGCGACGAAAACGTGAATCCCGAAGTGATCGTTTCGCTCGAAAACACGAATCCCCTACGGTAGCACCACGCTCAATCGAGCGATGCCTTCTAGGGCACCTTCCTACACATCGAGCAAGTAGGCCCTCACATCCCAGCAACAGGGATTCAACTTGCCTTGCTAGAAGGCGGATGCATAGCCCCTGCTTGAGAGAGGAAAAAGATCAGGGTTCACGTGAGTACGCCGTGCTGCCACACTTGTGCACACTTTGAGTGTTTCATATTCGGACGGAAGCAAGGAGAGCATAGGATGCACACGAAAACATGAGCGACAGCAGTGTTTTCTCCGTTGTTGTGTTGACAAGCATGTGAACCCTTTGGGTCTACAGGCGTCCTGACAGATCATTGATTGATCCTTTGTAAATGCTGGTGTTGTGGCCTGCCATGGAGTTGCCGCCCGGTATCCCTCCACGCCAGGTGTTGGCAAGTCAATAGGTAGGTGTGTCTTTATTTTTCGCATCGACCGCGCTACCCGGTGGCCAATGAAAAGACGTTAGTGCCAGCGGAAAATATCAAGGTCCCTAGAACGGCCTTTAGATTAGAAAAATGCACATTGCTCTAAATGCGAATACCACCATGAATCTCTCCCAATATCCTTTCACAGAGACACACATCAATAGCTCCACATACATGCCCTCGCCCGAATCTAGGAAGCCACTAAAGCAAAGACAGGAGGACAGTGACAAGGGGCACTTCAAGCCCATACAGGCCAAGATATCGTGGTATGTTGCATAGTCTATCCTCCAAGTTCGAAAATCGTGCACTCTCAAGACCCAGCACAGTCATCATTTCAGCGGGTATTCTACACAGCAGCAGCCGTAAGACGAGTTACAGCAGAGTAGGGAGTAACACATACACTATCAGCATAGCCCCACACATACCCTCGCCCGAGCCTAGAGAGCCACTGATGCAAAGGTAGGTGTATGCTGGTGTGTGCTTGCGTGCTTGTGAGGATTGTGGGAAAATCCCAAGAGCTGTAGTGAGCCGGCAGGGCTCACGTTGGGGAGGGGACAGAGAAGTACAGAAGTACAAGAACCAGCTATGGGTCTACAAGCCCTCTCACTGATCATTTCGCTGATCACTTGAATACACTGAAAATAGACTAGTTCAGGCGGCTTGACGACTGATCTCTTGAGGTCTACAAGCCTAACTGCGCTACTGGACGCACCGCGACCAAGCATCAACCCTTCTATGATCCTGTCTGTGTCCACCGTCCTGTCGCGGGCAGCCCTCATGGCCTATGGGTGGAGATAGCTGTTGCGTCTACAGAAGTACACACTCGTCTTCTGCCTGCTGTACTAAATGTTTTTTTTTCTTTTATGTCACGCAACAAATCCATAGACTATCTATATAAAGGAGTAGTCTAAGCTAGATATAAATCTAAGATAGATCAGCAATGACTCCACAGCGTGAGCGAAAGGCTACCTGTATGTCTACGGTTTCCCAGACAGCATACAACGATACCTCCCCTCCCTGTGGGTAACAGGCTCAACAAGGCAGTTTGGTAGCCATCTTGTGTATCTATCTGAATGTTATGTTGTCTATCTGTATGTTATGTTGCAGACGCAAGATTTAGGGGAACTCGGTTTGTCGGGTGTTCTCTTATACAAAGGGCACGGAGGAACATTATATCATCATTGCCTCCTGACGTGGCCGCCGATAGAGGCGGGTGGTTGGGGTTTCATCACTGACATGTGGGGGTGTGTTAAATGCAATGGGTATGGTCGACTCTCTCGCCCGTGTGTGGGCAGAAGGTAAAGCTATTTTTAGGACCAAAGTAAAGACAGAGTGTGTGTATCATTTCATGCATCTACTACATCATTTGTATGTTGTTGTTGTTGTTGTTGTTGTTGTTGTTGTTGTTGTTGTTGTTGTTGTTGTTGTCTTCACACTAAAAACCGTTCCCACCTCTCTCTCTACCCGGTACCTTCGTATGTCCGTACTGATCCAACACTCGACGCGGTCGATTCCCTTCGTCGCAGGTTGACTTACCCTAAAAACTTTTGCCTCTCCCCGCACTCTCTTCTCCCTTCCTTGTTATCTTTATGCCGCAAAAAAAAAAGAGGGAGACCCAAAGGGGTTAATGTTGACATCCATCACGGCTATGTTGCTATTGGAATTCAGCAGCAGCCTTGGTCATTCGCACCTTTTCATACATGCGGCGTATGTCTGCCATCGATGATCGAAACCTTTGACTTCTTCGTCTCGCGCTTGATAGCCTCTTCAAGCTCGTGCTGAAAGTACACCTTGTCGTAGAGAGTACGCTCAACGACGCTCTCGGTAGCGTCATTGAAAGCTGAGAGGGTGGAGATGCACACAAAAGTAAGGTGGCGACGTGAGGTAGGAACAAGGGATGACACGAAGGATGAAACAAAGGACAAAACAAGGCATGAAACAAGGGATTAAACACACGCCTCAGCAGCAGTGAGAACTCCTGAGCACCCTACGAGCGTGCTACCAAGAGGCACAGCGTACAAACATGCATTCCATGCTTCCTTCGTAGATCACTGCATCACGTCTTGACTGGCTTTCTTTCTGCTGCTACCAGGAAACAGCAGCAGCCGCGCAAAAAAAAGTCCTGTATCATGTATAGACTGGCTTTCTTTGCTCATCATGCCAGAAAACAACAGCAGCAGCAGCATCGCAAAAATCGTCACTAACTATTGCGTACAGCAGCAGCAGCAGTAGAGAGAGAGGCAGCAACAAAAAATGGCGAACAAAACCTGGATGGGACAGGTCGTACACAGCATCATACTTTTGCGTACAGCAGCAGCAGCAGCAGCAGTAGCGAGAGAAGGAGGAGGAGCAAAAAATGGCGAACAGATCCTTGATGGGACAGGTCGTGCACAGCATCATACTTACAACAACGAGGACGACTAACACCAGAAGAGCGCCGTTTAACACAACACACAACATGCATGAACAGGCAATGATAGGCTGACCCTCGTGGCGCTCCAGCAATCTATCTACGCAACAGCCACTAGTTTCTTGATTGAAAACGCTCTACAACTCACCGTTGGCAAGTAGCCTCTCTTCGGACTGGGTAAATTCGACGTAGATTCGCATGACGAACTTGGCCGACTCGCCAAAGAGTGCCTTCAGCGCGGCCACCCTGTGGTTGCCGTCTAGAGTGTGGCCAGGTATACTGAGTGCGGCCTCGGCGGTAAGTTTCCGCCCGTCGAGGAGGTGGTCTCGTTGGACCACGACGACAGGCGCAAACTGCTCGAGCCAGCCGACAGCCTGGATGGAGTTTTTCACGCTTTCCAGCCCGGTGTTGCTGATGCGGCGAACCATCTCGGTGCATGAAATGTTTCCGAGTACCATCTCGAAGTCCCCGACGTGGTGACGCGCCAGGAGGGTGGACATCCCATCGGGAACCGCAGTCTTCGACATCGTCCTTCCTTGAGATCGGCGTGGGAGAGCTGCGCTGCGGTTGTTGAGAGAAGGGCAGGGGAGTGCGGAAGGTGTGTGGAGGTGTGGGGGCGAGGGGGGGAATGGCGAAGGAGGGGCGTAGCATACCTTTCAATTTTCAGGTGGCAAATCATTGACCACAAATTCCGGATGGTCTTTTCGTCCTAGATCCATTATCTGAGATTACCAACGAATCTTTCAGAGATATTCCGAAAAGAAAATAATATCCGCAAGCGGAGATGTTGACCTCTTGAGTTTTGGAAGAGTATGAAATGCTCTTTTTCGTTGCCTCTTTGCCTCTGTATTCAGTTTTGTATCAAAAGCGGTAAAACATGTCATGGATAAAGAAAAAAATATACAATATCTGTAGCAAGCTGCTGCGTACCGAAACGGTGGTAGACCGCCTCGTTGAAATCAGACGTTGCCCCTTCGGCACAGAGGAAGATATGTGTGGACAGCTTTACGGTCTACTGTTGGGGCCGTAATCACATATCATTTGAAGGTAGACAGAGATATTGTTCTTGTTTGTTCAACGGTTAAGGATGAGCTGTTCAGCTCGGGTGACCGACTGCCACTTGATGAATTTTACGCTGGGTAGCTCTTGGGCGAAATTATTTGTGACATCCGAATTTTTCACACATCTCACGGGCTTCCTCCACCCTTCCGTCACACAAATATTTTCCTCCCACACGCCAACACTTTCGTGCCATCACCACACAAGACACAAGACCACCATGCCAGTAGCCAGCGGGGCAAGGCAGTGGCTTGTTACGCCGCATACGTTGCCGCCTGGCCCGCCCTCAAACAGCGGTGATGCACAAGACCTCGTTGCCGACAGTACGGGTTCAGGGACTCGTACCGCAAAGCCTCGCCGCGAATTGCCTCGACCTGTCCCCGCCAGCGAGCAGCATCGTTGCTGTGCTCGCTTGCGCTGCGTGGAAAAATTTACGGCAGATGATGGTGAGTCCTATCGGGCGCGTACACTCGCCGCAGAGCAGGAGGTGATCCGGGGTTGTTCGACCCGCGAGGATCGCAAGAGGTTCGTCCTGGATCGAGTGCCTGTCGTGACTTTGGGTCATGGAGATGGCTCGATGGTTGCGGGCGGTGTCCCTGTCTGCACGCAGTTCTTCAAGGCATCCTTCGGAGTATCGAATCAACTTATCGACGCTTGCAAACGCACACCTCACGCAAGGGCATCCTCCTCAGTGCGCAGGTAAGTTGTTTGTGCAATTTGTACGAGCACTACGCGCATCCCGAACAAAAGCTACACGCACACGAGCAAACGCTGCGAGTGTTGTTGCTGGACGCTGCACAGCTAGCTACATGTGTCTGATCTCCCGAGCCGGAGGGGTTTAGTCGCTGTTACCCA